TTTTACTGCAAGATTTTTAAAAACTAGCATGTAAGGGCCGGGGAGATGGCTCAGTAGAATAAGCATTTCCTTGGCAAGCGCAAGGGCCTGAGTTCAATCCCCAGTTCCGCAAAAAAAATAAATAAATAAATAAAATAAAAATAAAATAAAATAAAAAATTAAAATAAAAACTAGCATGTATTGCATGTTTCAGTAACACCTCCTAGTCTATTTCAGACTGTGGAGATTGTCAATATCCAAGGTGACCCCTTTTTTAAAATGTATTTGGTTGTACAGGGTCTCACTACATACCTCGGACTCATAGTGATCTTCCTGTTTTCAGCCTCCCCAGCGCTGGGATCACAGGTGTGCATCACTACGCCCAGATGCTCAGCACATCTGGGGAGGGACTGGCTCTGCATGTGGTGCAGGAGATCAAACAACGGTCCCCAAGCTTGCCCAAGCTTGCCTAACCAGGCGCTGAGCTCTCTCGCCAGCCCCAAATAGCCTATTTTAAAGACAGTGTAAGGAGGGATGCGTGTATGTTGTGTGTGTCAATACAACATTTGAAACAAAGGGCTTGGACACCTTCAGGGTACGGAATCTGAGAAGGATCACGTTTTTTAGTGAATCATAAGTATCCATTATTTTTCTTTTCCAGCAGGAAAAGATGCTGACTTGGAGGCTGCTTTTTGGCCAAGGTGGCAGGCTGGCTGGTCTGGTAGCCGTCCTCGTGGATGGAGAAAGAAAAAGAAACGCCATGCGGGTATTCCCCGGAGCTGACCCTGTCGGGCCCCACAGGAGACAGCCCCGGGCTGTGCTCACCACCAAGGATCCAAACCACTGATGCGCTCAACAGGCCCCTCCTGAGAGAGAAAATCTCTAGCACTAAACTCAGCATCCCCGTGGCACAGGGCGCTCCTTCCCTGCCCCGCATCTCCTCCCCCCCTCCAACCCACGAGCATCCAACCTTCACAAAAGAGGAGCCGAGAAGGATTTGCAAAAGTCACCTGTATTCCAGCCAAAATATCTTTAAAAAGAAATCCCTTTGAAAGGGGAATGAACTACATAAGATACAATACATTGAAAATATGTATTGAAATTACAAATCAGACATATCCGTGGGGATTCCAAAGTACAAAACGCAACACGAACAAGGCATACCAACGGGGCCTTCGTACATCACAGTGTCGGCGGCACAGAACATACGGATGCTGCAAAGGACATAAAACCAAACTCGTTTCGTTTTTGTCCGACTACCACTCGTCATATACATAACGCATATGTGTGCATGACTCCTTCATGCATGTTTCTATACAAGATTAAAATACACCCTTAGCCAAGTGGGCACAGAAGAGAAACAAATCAGGCACACAGCTACCTAACGGAGCCTCTGAAATCGTGGAAGACGAGATAACACAAATTAGAGGGCGGTGATGGAGCCCACAGGGCTAAAATATAAAACAGCATGCTTTTCACTTGCGATGCATTAGCAATTACATTTCAAGGCAGGCCGCTCTGCAGAACTGGGGGTTTTGATAATCCATCAAATCTCTCCACTTATTTTCATAAGGATTTAGGTTCATATAAGAAACAGGCTTTGGTATTCTTTAAGAGACCCTCATGAAGCTGTATACATGCAAAATATTTTCCCTCGATGGTCTGTGATTGACATAGATATATACACAAATGAGTCGATTAATGGTGATCTGAGAAATAGCCCAAACGCCCACCCTGTTTCTTTCCAATCCTCTCATTCTGAAAGACTATGAAAGGAAAATTTTTCTCTTTTAATTTGCTAAGTAACTTTTTCTTTTTTGTAAAGGAAGTAGGAAAGATAAAACTCATCTTGATGTCATTTTTGTGCCTCTAGCATACTCTCCCCCCATTGGACACTGTGTTCTCATCAGGAATTATTGGTCTAGGTACCAAGTCAGGGGTTTTGTGGTTGTTTGCTGTTTTTTATGTTTTTGTTTGTCCAGGTTTTTTTGAGACAAGGTCTTGCTATGTAGTTCAGGCTGGCCTTCAACTCAGTGTGTAGCCCAGGCTGGACTCAAACTCACGGTGATCCTCCTGCCTCAGCTTCCTGAGTACTCCTCATGTACCACCATGCTCAGCCCAAGCCGGTTTTATGGAACAGAGCTCTGCAAAGATGCAGAGGTGGCTGATGCTGGTTTCTTGGCCTGAGCCACTCCTGAGAGCTCAGGAAGAAGAGCTGATGTTCACAGTAACTCATGTGATGCTTAGCTGAGATGCTGGGTCAACCCTGGTCATGGGCATCCACCATGACTCTGTCTTTGAAGGTGGTGGCCCTGGGTGAGGTACAAAGCCCACACTGCTGGGTCACAGGACTCAATAAAACCTGATAACAAGGTCAGTTGCCAAAGGACCTCAGATAACTGATAGGTCAACTATGTCCTCTCCAGACCCCCAACTGCTGAGCCCTGGAGTACACCTAGCTGTCTAAGAGTCGCTCCCTGTCCCCTGCCCTTAATGGTCTCTAAATGAATGGGTGTCAAGTATTTCTGGACATAAAAGTATAAAGCATCTTAAAAAATCTAAATGTCACCTTTCACCTGGGAGAAGCCACGGTGAACAACGGGAACAAGTCCATGTACTAAATGCAGAACTCTGGGTTTTACTGGGGAGTGACAGCAAGACCAAAGCTCCCCTTCCCAGCTTCTACTTGTGTTTTACAGCAAGTATGGTTAAGACTGCATCTCCATCACAAACGGACAGGGCACTCTTCTCAACAAGGCTGGGCCAGGGAATGGAAGTGTACACATGTCAACGTAAGCCTGGTATTGATAGAGGGAAGGGACAGGTTTCATTGCATTACTGAATTACACAGAGAAGAGTGAGATGTGCTCAGCACAGATGCTCAGAGCTGGCAGGTACCTCTCTGACTGCCCCTGGCTGTCCCCAGACTGCTGTGGTTCCTGCCTAGGTTCAACCACATGTTTGCGAAACACAGCAGGTGAAGGCACAAGGAGGGCTGGGGCTACAGATGCACATGATCAGGGCACAAACCCTCCAGACGCAGGACGGCAGCCCTAGGAACAGCCTGTAGGAACATGAGAACCTCAGCTGCCGTTCCTGAAATGAGATTTTGCCAACACTCTCCCTCCCAGCCCAAGGACAAGGAGTCAAGGAATGCTCTGTGGATTCAGGCACTGGACGGGAGGAACTGGGTATCCTGCTGCCCTGTGGGCCACTAGACACAGAGCCACAGGCCTGTCATCTTGGACGGGCACCTTCAAGGGCAGTGGCCAGATGGCTGCACCTACACGTTACAGGCTGAGGTCTGGGGCCACTGAGCAAAGAGTGAAGCTGGTCACCCATCCCAACATCTCCAACCACACAGAAGCCCAGCCTTCACCCAGGAAGATGGATGGCTATGCCATAGTCTTAGTTACTTAACTTTTACACTGCAATCATAAGGAGAGATCTTTGGACATAATTTGACACGGACTGATCTTCTAAATGGCTTTACTTTGATGAAGGAAATCAGGACTAGTAGTAAAGACAAAACTGACTCTAATCTTCCTCAGCTGTTTGCTGTCAAGAAATAAAGTAGAAACTGTTGGACAGAAGAGGACCTGAGATGGATACATGCATGTGGAGCCCAACACACAAGACAGATATGGTTTAAACATGTGCTTGCAATGAGCAAAGGAAGAGAAAGAGAGTTTTGTGTTTTACTTCCTTGTAGGTCACTTAATACAGCTTAAGAAATTGCACTGTAATAAATCTGCAGCGTCTGCCTTTTGGCAGACATTTGGCTTTGGAAGTCAATTCTCCCTAAGAAAATGCTCTCTTCACTTTTAAAAGTCAATTGGTGGAACGTGTGTTATTATTGATCTCTGTATTGTTGCCATGGAAACTGTCACACACCACCCACCCCCTAAAGAACAAAGTGGAAGAATTTCTACATCAAAATAACTAAGGGTTATGGATAGTTTTCTTCTTTCTTTACACCCCTGCAAGGACAAACTGGCCAATAGAGGACCTAAAACTGTATGAGATACATGATTTCTCAACATTACGTAAAGTGTTTAAAAAATGTGGAAATCCAGAAAACTCCTGCTGGGTGTCCAAAATTCCCCCGGGCTCTGGCAGGAGGCCTGTGTCTGAGGATGGATTATGCAATTTATTTCATGCTACTTTAAAACTGGGGCAAGAGGCTAAACCATGGTGATTCCGGGAAGGACTCCTTCCAAGTAAAACATCTGGTTTGAGCACGTTAATAAAAAGTATCTGCTGCTACCTGGGTGCAGTGAGGCGAACCTGCGAGGTGAATCACCAAAGAAGAAAGAAAGGTGAATCTAGCTGAGATGTTCCTTTAAACAAGTCAATATTTTCAGAGAAATGTAACAAATATAGGAACTGTGTTTCTAACAGTACACGGCTTACAGCATTCAGAAAGTTATTACAGCAAGTTTCAAGAAAAACTCAGAATGCATAAGGCTTTCTAATCTCCTGAAAAGTGGTCAAGCCAGAAAAGTCATTTAACTGTCACTTCTTAAAACGTACATTTCAAGAAAGGCATAGGATGGTTTATATGCACCTTGTTGATTTTCACTACTCAGTTGGGGGGAAAAAAGCCTTCTAAAAAGGATTTTACTAAATGCCATTAGTAATAAAAACAGTTGTCATAAACAGAGTGCTTTTCTTAAGGTGGAATAATGGAATTCCATTTGAAGAGAGCTGTGATCCTTAAAAGACTTCTCCACACAGCATGGCGTCATCTTGAAGTCAAGCAGAGATGATGGACGATGCTTGGTTAAGGTTAGGGTCTCCTCCATGCCCCCCAGACAACCCTCGTCTATGCCACGGGGAGGGAGACAACTGCCCTAGTGTGCTTCATCCACACCACCAGCCAGACCTGCAAAAGCTGACTTTGGAACGTGCCCCGCCACACCTGCCTTGCCTTCCCCATGCCTAGGTGACCTCAGCTGGGGCCTTGGCAAATGCTGACTTTGGTCCCTGAAATCATGGCACCCAGCCTGACACTGTGAAGCTCAATGGGGCACGTAAGGCAAGAAAAATGTTTAGAGAGAGGGGGACAGTGAGGGTGGGACGGGGGCCACACTTTCTGGAAGCAGAGGTCTCCTTCCTGCATTGTCCATTCCTCTAGGTGGGCAGTGGGTCATCGTCACCTTTACTGCACTTGCACTTGCAGCAGAGCACAAAGGGAGTGGCCAGAAGAAGAAAGGGGGACGCCACCAGAAGCAGGAGCCCAAATCCAGCGAAGATGCCCACAACCTGGAAGAAAGAATACAAACATGGGGAGTAAGGAAAGGACAGCTTGCAGGCCCTACAGCTAAAATATAAACCACACAACCACCCGTCTCCTGTCCATCCAACTGGGATTTTAACCATCTAGCCATCCACCAGCATTCATCTGTCCATTCATAGAAGTACCCATTCACGTATCTATCTACTTATGGATCCATCTATCCTTGAATCCACCCATCCACCCATTCACAATCCTCCATCCATCCATCCATCCATCCATCCATCCATCCATCCATCCGTCCGTCCGTCCATCCCTCCACTCATCTGCCTAACCACTTATCCATCCACCCAACCATCCATCCATCGCCCATATTTCTTTTGTTGCACTTTCCCCCTCTCTTCATTTCCTGCATCCTCCTTTCCTTTCTTTTCCCCCATTCCATCCATCCATGTAACCAGTGGACACATGAGCCCCTCCCACCCAACAGCCACCTGAGCCAGGCAGTGCAGTCAGTGTAGCAAAGACAAGAGCACCTGACATCCTGGTCTCAGGGGAGACCCTATCTAGTAGAGGAAGACAACAAAGGCACATCTTACTGACACTGCTCTAGGCTTCCAGGTACAAAGGGATTCCATGTGACAGACATGACATGTATTAGAGGAAGGAATGGTTCCCAATGGAAATGGATGAGATTATAAAGATGAAGAGATTATTAATATACAAGAGCTCCTAGGGCCAGCCAAATAGCTCAACAGATTAAAGTGCCTCTGCAAGCAGGCACAGGGGCTGTGAGTTCGATCCCTGGGCCTGCCATGCCAGTCCTGCTCCCAGGGAGTGCTGAGATGGCAATTGAGACTGGGTGTGGTGGCGCTTGCCTGTAATCCCAGCTCTTGGAAGGCTGTAAACAGGCAGATCACTATGAGTCTGATCTAGTAGTGATACCCTGTACCCCTGTAGACCCTCCCCCCCAAAAAAAATGAATCCCTAGAAATATATAAATGCTGAAAGGAATGGGTTTCAAATGCAGCTATGTTCAAAAGAGCACGTGGCTTTGCCCCTCCGCTACATTCCTCCCAGGTGTAAAAGGGCAGAGCCAAGACTGGAACCCGGGACTAGACCGCCACCTACTGTTCAGAGGACACACTGGGCAGCTCCACTGCTCGAGCCTGCATCCTAAACAAAGGAGGCTAAAGATCTCTGAGAGCTACTATGAGCCTAAAAAGGACACTACGCAGTAAAGCCCCCCAGATTTGTGAAAGGCCACCTTGACTTCAATATGCCCCGAAAACCAACACACACACACACACACACACACACACACACACACACACACACACATAGTGCAAAGCACGCACACTTACGAACTGCTTAATAAATGGTGTCACGTTGCATCAATAAGTCCTACGGTACTGATGCTAAGAAGCCCCCGCTGCTGCCAGCTGGAAATGCTCATTTACAGACTCACACAGAGCGAATGTCACTGTGCTCTACAGAAATTTCATGCACACTGACGTCTCCGAATCGGAAAGAACCCACAGAGAATCTCTACTCCCTTGTCCAGAATGAGCCAACACCCTCTGAGGTTCAATCCACACAAGTCCTCAGCCCCTTGCTCCTGTCTTGCCCCTGAGATGCCATCTTTGTTGCTCACCCTGTCTCTCTTGGATCTTACTTGGCGCGCTATTTGGCAAGTTGGGGTGGCCAAACTGTGACCTGATGGTGACAGGAGAGGCAGTTATTGCCAGAAGCTGACAGGAAATGAAACAGGCAGAACCAGAGAGCCGGGCAGCAGTTCAGGCTCCTGGGAGTCACTACCCAACACACACAGTGACATTTGTCTTGGCAAGCCCTTGCCCTGATTCCTTAAGCTGTACTCTGGGCAAACGCAGAACATATTCTTTGTGAGCCATCCATGCCTTCAGCCTGCTGGGTAGCACCCTGCTTGTAAAGAACAGCCGCACGGTGGTCCTGGGATGAGCCAGTTGCAAAGTAACTACTCGTGTTCTGAATGAGTGGGAAAATTCACCTCCAAACCTCATTCAAGGGCTTGGGAAAATCAAAGCCGCAGTGAAGGAACAGAATACCTTGGCTTCACTGAAACCCACATCATAACATGTGCAGAGCAGGACACAGGACACACGGAGGAACAGATGGTGACAAGGACCAGGTAGCAGCAACAGCAGGGACCAAGAGGAGAGGCCAGGAGAGCAGGTGAGCTTTAGTTTGGAGAGGGCAAAGAGGGAAAACGGAAGACATGATCGGCAAGCCCCGGGGTCTCCTGGGGGCTTGAGCAGGACCCCACACAGGCCCTCTGTCACAGGCTGCTCATCCTACAGCTTGGCGTCGATGAACATGAGGACTTGGCCACACAAACAGCACACCTCGGGCTTCCAAAAGCATCACCCCTGCCCAGAGCCTATCCTGGGAAAACACGAGGTGGGCGTCATGAACGTCCCCTCAGAGAGGCTGACTCTACTCCTCTAGTGTACCCCATGGCAGCAAGAGTGTTAGCTGCCCAACACCCAACGAGGCTGGGTGGATGTTTTAGCTCTAATAGCTTTACTGAGAGGGAATCCCCATCTCAGACAGCTCAGTCACTCACAGTTGGCAAAGCAATCCATCACTGTTTTTTCCTTATCCTTTCCTGGCATCGGCCTGTTCTTCAGGGGAGCCCAGCACTCAGCAGCACCCACAGGTAGGAAACATAGAGCCGAGGTCACAAGTAGCACATTAGATGTTACTGAAGGGACCATGGCCCCAAAGGAAGCCAGCAGAGGCACACCTCCAGCTCTGTCTCTTTGTACAGCAGGTCTTCCATCAGGGCAACTTCTAAAAATGACACACACCAGGAACACACCGTGCACCCCCATGCAGACACACACACACACACACACACACACACACACACACACACACACACAAGCGCACGCGCGTACACACACCCTTTCCTGAGATCAAAGTTCTTACCTGTGTCCGGTGCCAGATCACTGAAGCCCGGGAGTGGCCCAGCTTGTTGCGGCAGGGTCCTTTGTCATAGTGGATCAGGAGGAAGTCGTCCTGTGAAGCCAGAAAGGGGCAACAGTGAGCATCTTCTGCCGGGCTGCCCGGTGACTGGGGCCTGAGCTGTACTTCCTTCCCCTGCACACACTGCACAGCTGGCTGCTGTCACTCAGGGCAGCTGTCACCTCCCAGGAGCAGCCAGGGAGCCTGGCCAGCCCGGTGCACCTGAGGGAGTCTGGGGTCAGACTTCAGGCCCTGGTCCAAAGCAGGACACTGGCACCAGGGCTCTGTTCTGAGCTTGCACGGAAGAGCACATCTGTGCTGCCTGCTGAAGAACCAGGCCCATGCCTTCTCCAGAGCTCCTTCCAGGCACGGCTGTGTCTCACAACCCAGCTCCATGCCAACAGAGTCACCCCTGAGACTGTACCATGGTTGTCATCCCTGTCACCTGCCAATACTGGCTTCTCCCCTGTGGCGTGTTCCCTCCAACACGAGGACCACTACGAGCTTTCTGTTCTGAACCAGCTCAGGGACCATCTTGTCCCTGCAACCGCGCTGATGTCCATATCGGGCCAAGTCCTCCTTCTGGGAGGGGAGAGAGGAAGGAAGGAGGAGTAGGAGTGCTAAGGCCCAGGGCCACCAAAGGGGACAGAAGGTGGCACGGCCAGAAGAGGCCCACTGACACTCTGCTTGTTTGGGGCATTCACAGCAGAATCAAAGAGGGACACACATGGAGGCCCACGGGTCACACACAGCCCCAGAGCTGAAAGCTCAAAGGTGCCAAACAGGTCCTACTGAGTCCGGCAGGGTGTGGCTGTGACGAGGCTGCCACACCCGACGGGCAGAAACCACTGCGCTGCCTGCCACTCAACTCAGATGCTGATGGGCAGGGCCCGGACACTCTGAAAGTCTGAGCCTTTTATTTACATGGACAATCTGGATGGAAACTTCAGGAGGAATTTTCTTCTCTTTGTCTTTTTTCTTTCCTTTTTCTGATACTAAGGATTGCATCCAGGCTCTTCACACTGAACTACATCCCCAGCATTAATTATCATCATCATCATCATCATCGAGACAGGGTCCTGTTAGACTGACTCGGCTGCCCAGGCTGGGCTCTAACTTGTGATCCTCCTGCCTCAGCCTCTCAAGTGCTGGGATTACGGGCTGGCCCGTGGAACCTAGCATGCGAAAAACCTTCCACACCAATCAGTTGCTTCTCCTCTGTTCAGGTGACCTCTCCCCAAACCTGCCCTTTGTCATGGCTGTGACTCCCTTCTACCTGTCATAGCCCCAAGCGGAGGTCCAGGGCTATGCCTGTGTCTTCCTTCTATGAGGCCTTGTTTCTAACATTTCTGGACCTAAGCACAGAGCCCTGGTAACAACAGGATGAAGCAGAAGCAGTGCAGAGTGTTTACAGCTGCTGTGAGCCTGCATGTGCACAGCTGCGCTCAGGGCTCCTCCTGAGATGCCCTCCTCACTCCACCTCCCAGACACAATCCTGGCAGCTTCCAGCCCTACAGCTCGAGCCCGGGTGAGATGGCTATGAATGTCCTTCATAAACTGCCCACACCGTAACATCACTCTCCCTCCAACACTGCTCTGTACAAAGACAGGGTCACACTTCAGCAGCTCTTCCTTCCGAAGCAAAATCGGAAGCTCTTGGCTGGGAGGAAAGTTTTATGGAGGAAAAGGGCCAGGTGGATCTCCTGGGTCCAGGCAGGAGCTGGACTTTAGGAGCAGAGCAGGCAAGGAGTGGCTGCTTCGAGGGTCGCCCAAAGGCGCAAGACCCAGGCTTCATTCTGCTTCCCGGAAGGGGCAGCAGGATCTGAGAGAATACCAAGTGTCAAGCACTGTCTCCACCCACTGCTAATACTGCCCTACAGGGTCCTCAGGGGCATCTGGTAGCAAGCAAGAAACCAGGCCTGTCACTTCTTTCTACTTTAAACTTTTTTTGTGGAACTGGGGATTGAACTCAGATCCTCGCGTTTGCCAGTCAAGCGCTTATCCTACTGAGCCATCTCCCCAGCCCCTCTTTCTACTTTAGAAAAGACACATCAAGTAGCACAGTGCAGCTGGATATAGAGACTACACCATCAAGCAGCGCTCACATTTCAAAACACTTGGACCACAGTAAAGAAATGCAAAAAGGACTCAGTTGGCTCGGCAGGCCTTGAACCGTCATCCCAAGCCTGCCCTCGCCAGCACATGAGGTCAGAGCACAGCCCCTCAAAGGTGACTTTAACTCAAGAAAGGGAATCCGGTCATTCACCTTGACTGGGCAGAGGAAACAAAAGCCTTCACAGAATGGAAGGGTTTTTTTTTTTTTTTTTTTTTTTTTTTTTTTGATCTGTTCAGCTGTATTGGGTGCCATGGTAAATCCAGTAACTTAGAGTTAATAATAGAACCACAGGCTTTTGAAAGAACAACAGCCAATGCCACAGAGATCTGGCTAATTTTTTTTTAATACCAAAATCTATCTCCACATTTCCTATTCCATCAATAAGATACTTGTTTACCTCTTAACCATCCATCCAGTGGGTGGAGAAGGAGAAGCAAACTTTCTAAAGCTGCTCCACTCTGTCCAATGCCCTGAGCTCATGTGCGGGTGCAAACATTTCTCTGCATCTTTGAGGTACCCTGAGTGAGCCAAGGGGACAGTTCTGGCACCACCCAGCAACCAGGACGCTGGACAATCAAGGCAAGAAAGAAGACCGGAGGCAGATGAGCCCCCAGGCTGTGAAAACGTGAGCCTCACCCTCCTCTGTGGGAACCAGATCTCCTTGCTTCACACTGGTGATGAATGAACTGAGCGAGCCATTTTTGCTGTCTCTGGGACATCTCAGTTTGCACAGACAACTGCTTCCCACCTAAAGACACTATCAGGTCTGCTACTTAATTATACCTGTAAAATACACGGACTAGTGGGCTCTGCTGAAACTCAAATCACATGGGCTGGTGAGATAGCTCAGCTGTCTAAGCACCTGCTTGGTAAGTGCAAGGACCCAGGTTTGATCCCTGGCATGGCATGCCTTGCCATCCCTATCCCGAGCCTGGGAGTGATGGCACATGCCTTTAATCCCAGCACTGGGGAAGCTGAGACAGGAGGATAACTATGAGTCCAAGACTCCTTATCAAATAAATAAATAAATAAATAAATAAATAAATAAAAGATTAAAACTCAAATCACAGCACCACCATTGTGGTGGAAACCATCCCCCTACCATGATCAACGAGAAGAGCTGGAAGTTGAAAAGCACCTATTCCAGCAGAGCTGGGAGCTCCTGGATAAGCCTGGGGCTGGGTGTGTGATGTGCAGCAGATATAAGAGAACAATGAACAGCATGCAACCCGGCACTCTCTCCAGGCCTGGCCAGGTCCTGCTGCACAACAGGCATAGAGCATGTAAGAGGGTATCAGAGGAGGCAGCCACAGAAGCCATGAATGTCCCTGCCCCAGAACAGCAAAGGACACGCTCGTTTCCTGTCTTGCAGATGCCATGGGTGTCAAGTAAGAATGGAAGGTTCCCACACCTGCATTCTGCCATCTCTGCCTGTATTTACCCTGGCTATGCCTCTAAAGTCCCCAGCTATACATAAGAGTATTTGTTCCTCTTCCACCAAAATTCTTAAGCATGCCCTCGGTAAGAGGCTGGCTCTTGGGAGCTGACTGGATGGGTTCCCGAGAGTAGAGTCGATGGACAGGGTCAGTGTCCTACAGAGAACAGACCAGAACTCCGTCCCTCTCTGCCAAGTGATGCCACAGGGAGAAGGCGGCTGTCTAAACTCCGGGATGAAGCTCGCATCAGGAACGAGCTCTGTGGAGATCACAGCCTTTTGATTGCTTTTGGAGATGGTCTCAGGCTGGTCTTGAACTCACTCTCTGCGTGCCCAGGTTCCAGGCTACCACACCTGGTTCAGATCTGTGGGGAGTAAGATTCCCAGCCTCCCGAGCCTTAAGAAAGAAATATTTCTGCTTTAGGCTGATCTGTTTCTATGGGATGCCCCAGACCGACTGAGACAGGTTCCCCTCAGATAGGACCCATGATTCTGGGGTCCCCACCTGGAAGAGTAACATCATCAACACAGAAAAGCCCCTTCTGAGCTACTGCTGTAGAGGCCTGGAGTGGACACCACGTGCTTCAGGGCACGCCGGGCCCTTCTGCTCCCCAACCCGGCCCGTGGCTCACACAGCCCCAGCCCACGGCCAACTCACGTCCAGGGACTCCAGGCAGTACCAGCAGAAGGCATGTTTGCAGTTCTTGCACATCATCTGTGCACACCCCTCGTCCCGCTCGATGTACACCCTGCACTTGGGGCAACGTTTGATGGGCGCGGTGTCCTCGTCCAGCTTAAACCCGGAGCTGTGGGAGAAACTGCGTGAGACTCCGTATCTGGGGCCTACGCTCTGCACCCTGCTGGGGGCACGGCCCACCTGCAGGGGCTGAGACCTCTTCTTGTCAAATGAAATAAATAAAAACAGTAGACGAGGATCCAGGCAGGTGTGGCGGTGTCCACATGTAACATCACCACGGCGGGAGGCCGAGGCAGCAGAAGGACAAGTGGCGGCCCAGCCTGGGCAGCACAGCAACTTAGAGACCCTGCCTCAAAACTTTAAAAGGCCTTGGGGTGTGGAGCTCAGTACAAAGCCCTTGGGTTGAATCCCCAGTACAAGAAAGAAAAAAAGAAACAAAATGGAGATTCCAATGCTGGTCAAGCAACAGATGGAAGGGCAAAGAGAACATTTAAGAAAGAAATGCCAGGGCCCGCCAAATAGCTCAGCGGATTAAAGCAACTGCTCAGGCAGACAGCGGCTGGGGTTCGATCCCCAGTGTGCCGTGCTGGCCTCGCCCCTGGGGCACACTAAGATGGCGATTGAGACTGGGTGTGGATACACCAGTCTATAATCCCAGCTTTTGGGGGCTGAAGACAGGTGGATCACTACAAGTCTGATCTATGTAGTGAGACCCCATAGATCCTGTACTAAAATACAAAGAAAGAAAGAAAGAAAGAAAGAAAGAAAGAAAGAAAGAAAGAAAGAAAGAAAGAAAGAAAGAAAAAAGAAAGGCCTAAAAAACAAACACAAATCCCAGACACGACAGTGCATACTTGAAATTGTAGCACTCAGGAGGTGAGGAAAGAGGACTGCCATGAGCTCAAGGCCAGTCTGTGCTACACAGCAAGTTCTAATCCAGACTGAACTACATAGTGAGATGCTATCTCAAAAAAGGAAAATAAAAACCAAATAGGACATAGTGTTGCATTCCTGTAATCCTACTACTTAGGGAGGCTGAGGCTGGGATTCACCCTGTGCCCTGAGTTGCAGCCTATGGGACAGTCTCCAGCTAGAATACAGAGGGTGGGTCAACCAGCCTGCCCTGCGCTGTAATCTGGACAGAGGGGACCCGGGCTTATCCAGCATGTGGCCAGGTGTCTCCAGGAAAGGTCAAGGCTAGAGCAGGGGCACAGCTGCCCCAAGAGTGAGTGTGCAAGCCCAGGGACCACTGGATCGGAAAATGAAGAACGAGGGCGGTGGCAGCCGTGCAGCCCAGCCACGAGACTGCACACACTTGTCCGGGAGAAAGGCCTGGATGCGGTCCACTCCGCTAGTGTCAGGGTGTATAGAACAAGGCTGCTGTGTTAGTTGATATATTGTGTCAACTTGGCTAAATCAGCTCCAGCAGTTCTCAGCATGGGGGCCTAGTCCTACAGGTGGGCAGGGCCCAAGAATTGAGAAAGGCAAGAAGCTGCCCTGCCTGGTTTCCTGCCATCCCACCCCACTTCCGTGGAGAAGTACCAGCCTTCGGAGGAGCTTGGTCTTTGCAGCCGCCCCACTATGGAGGAGCTTGGATCCTCACTGTGGAGAGCCGGTCTTCGCAGTCAGCGCAGAAGGAAGAGATAGGCTTGATGGACGCCGCTGCAGCTGCTGCTCCTCCTCTGCTCGTCATTGTTTTCTGCCGCATGAACTGCTGTTGTTTGCCTTGGAGCCAGCGGAATATGGACTGAACCCTCCAGAAACTGTGAGCTAAATAAACCTTTCCTTCCTTCACTTTGGGTGTCGGGTATTTGTCCCAGCAACGAGTAAAAAGTAACTAAGACAAAATTTGGTACCAGAGTAGTGGGGTCCTTGCTGTGGCAATACCTGACAATGTGGATTACAAGCTTTTGGGACTGACTTATGGGAAGAGATGGGAAAGGTTCGGAGATGTCGCCTACAAGCGAAGCACTGGAACAGCTTCAGCTGTTCTGTATGGGAGATTCTGGTCAGAGCTCAGAAGACCAGAAGGCTGATAGAAAGCCTGCCTGTAAAGACCAGGCTGGGGAGGTTTCTGCTGGGAAGAAGGACTGCATTGGTTGTTGGACTCCAGATCATGTGTGTTTTGACTTGGCAGAAAAGTTGTCTGCATTTTGCTCGTGTCCAGAGACTTTTCCTGAAACTGAAGTTAAGCACAGTGGACTAGTTAATCTTGAAAAAGAAATTTCAAAACAGCCAAATATTGGGGCAGTGGCATGGTTGCTGTTGGGAGCTTTTTGCCAGATTTATGTTAAAAATGAAGAGCAAAGAGCCCAAAAGGATGATTTAAAACGTTGTAAGTTTGAAGACAGAGCTGAGAGGATCTCCATTGTTGAGAAGGAACAGGAGAGTGGAAAAGATGTCCTGAGGGCATCACAGGAGGTGGCAGGTTCTTGCCCTCTGTAGCCTCAGAATCACAAGGGTGAAGAACTTTGCTTTGAGGAGAAAGCTGCAGAGCCCCATGTCCCAGAATGGAGGCAGCGGCCACACCGGGTTCCAGGATGGAGGCGGCGGCCACACCAGATTACAGAATGGCGCCAACATAGAGAATTTGTTTCTCAGAATCAGAGTCAGAATGCTCAGCAGTCCAGGCACTCAGCTCCTACAGTCAAGAGAGAAGGAAGCTTGCTTACTGCTCCAGCTGGCAGCAGCCCTTGGGATCATCCACGTGGCTTTGGTTGTAGGCACATGCAGAATGCAGGCGTTCTGAAGTTCAAAGGCTTCCACCCAGATTTCAGAAGAAGGCCTGGGAGGCCAGGCAATGTGCCCCTGAGAGGGCAGTGTGTGAAGCTATGAATGAGAAGCCTATCCAGTGGAAACCTCAGAAGTTTGAAAAACCAAGGAATGTGGATGATCTAAGAAAAGCTGCAAAAAGGGAGCAAAGCAGGCCTGAGAGAAAAGCCATAGGAGCTACCCGCAGAAGTGCCACAGGGGTGGAGCCACGTAAGGCTTTTGGAGCTCACAACTCATTACAGGGTACTTTGAATGGTCCACAGGGAACTACAGGACTTAATGTTTGCCCTTCTGGACCTTGGACTTGTTTTGGTCCCAATTGTTTGTATGCAGCTGTGTATCCCTTTTGGAATGGCAGTGCTTATCTTGTGCCTTTGAATGTTGGAAGAGTTTAACTTTTCATTTGTAGAGGGGCTCACAGCTAAGTTTGCCTAAGATCTTGCAAGTTAGGGACTTGGACTTTTCAGCGTTGCTGAAACTGGTAGGACTTTGGCAACTCTTAGAGATGGACTAAAATGTCTTGCATAAACGGTTGTGCATGAGTCTTTGGAGGGCCAGGGGTAACATGTCATGGTTCTAATACAATGTTGGAATTGTAAAATGTTTAAGCATGTCTGTGTACCTGGAAATTGGCTTAAAAAAGTATATGTCTAGTTGCCAAGTTGACAAGGGGTGGATTGTGTTAGTTGATACATTGTGTCAACTTGGCTGAATCAGCTCCAGCAATTCTCAGCATGGGGGCCTAGCCCTGCAGGTGGGCAGGGGCCAGGAATTGAGAAAGGCAGGAAGCCGCCCTGCCTGGTTTCCTGCCATCCCGCCCCACTTCCGTGGAGAAGTGCCAGTCTTCGGAGGAGCTTGATCTTTGCAGCACGCCAATCTTCAGGAGCTCCAATCTTCACTGTGGAGCGCCGGTCTTTGCAGTCAGTGTAGAAGGAAGAGAGAGGCTTGATGGACGCCGCTGCAGATGCTGCTCCTCCTCTGCTCTTCATTGTTTTCTGCCACATGAACTGCTGTCGTTTGCTTTGGAGCCAGCGGAATATGGACTGAACCCTCCAGTAACTGTGAGCTAAACAAACCTTTCCTTCCTTCATTTTGGGTGTTGGGTATTTGTCCCAGCAACGAGTAAAAAATAACTAAGACAGCTGCTAAGTCCACCTGGGCAAGGACCCGGCCATCTGCTGTGGCGCTGGCAGAGGCCAAAGGCACACCAGGGCTTCCGCACATCTTCCTCCAGACTCAGTATTTCAGGGCAACACAGGCTCCTTGGCCTGAGGCCGCCGCAGCCCTGTGCGTGGTGATGCCTCTGGCTTCCCTAGCCCCTGCTAAGGCCCTTCCTGCGGCCACATTCGAAGCTCTCTCTGGACTCCTGTAGTCTTAGAGAAAGGCAAGTGTCATGGAATTAAGCCCTGCACAGTGATTCCAACTGTGCCAGATCCTTCCCGTTGATGGCACCAGCCAGCGGCACTCACCAATTTTTATTATATAATAAAATATATAATACTATGATACTGGGATGGCCAAACAGCTTAGCGGATTAAAGTGCTTGCTTAGGCAGAGGACAGACGCAGGGGTTCAATTCCTGGCATGCAGTGCCAGCCCGACCCTCGGGGTGCTCCAAGATGGTGACTGAGACTGGGCACGGTGGTGCGCTCCTGTAATCGCAGTGCTTGGGAGGCTGAAAACAGGAGATCACTACGAGTCAGGAGAATCACTACGAGTCCAAGCTACATAGTAAGACCCTGTAGATCCTGTAGACCTTGTCCTAAATACATTTAAAAAATAATAATATAATACTAAAAGAAGATAATGATATACTATATGTATATATAATAATATATAATACACACATATGTATATATAATTTCTAAAGAGAATATAAAAGAGTAAAAAAGCCATTAGAAACAATACAAAATTTCACTCAACAAAATGAAAGGCGCTCGACAGTGGCTGTTATATTGCATATGGCTGTCTTCAAATTAGTTGTTCAAATTACCAAATACAAGCCTGTAAGATTGGTCACAGCTTGTAAAGATTCTGAGGAAAGAGAACTCCAGAGCTGCGGCAGAAAGCAGCAAGGACCATGGGATAAGCGTGTTCCCGGTGAGAAGGAGGATTCTCAGGGGAATTCCTGGCAATGCGTCTGTTACTGTAACGCTCTTTCTAAGTTTAAATCTTCACTTTTTCTGGGCAGACAGAGTGGAGTGCAGTCCTCAGGCCTCTTGCTATGTGCAGGGTCTTTCCCAGGGCATGGGGGCAAGGGCAGGCATAGTAAGGAGCATGCATGGGTCAAATGGCCCTCCAGGGGCCGAGTGTGTGCTGAGGCAGAGTCTGCAGTCACGTGCTCTTTGAGGCACTTCCAGGGAGGATGCAAGCCCCTTTCCCTTCCCCCTTCCAGCCCGCTCTTGAGGGTACCTGGTCTCCCCTGGCAGGAAGGTGATAGGCATGGTCTCCGAGCAGCCTTGGCCGGGATGCCAGCGAGCTTTGCAGGCCGAGCAGAACTCCATGTGACATGACTTGCATTGCACCAGTTGCGGCGTCTGCAGCCCCAGGTCCTGGAGCTGGCACACAGCCTGGCAGGTGGATGCCGGGCACCATGTCCGGCAGGGATCGAAAAGCACCTCTAGGGTAAGGAGAGAGAATGGCCAATCAGACCTGGGAGGAGAGGGGTCCAGCATTGAGGACCACATCTGGGTGATGATGGCAGGCACAGCAGACTTCTCTCAACTACAGAACTTATGCCCCTGGCTCCCTGGGATTCCTGGCTTGCAGCACACCCTGGGCTCAGTCCTAGGTCCTTTCAGTCTGTAAATCTGTGCCCACCTCCGAGCCAGGCCCTGTGTTCTCTTCTGTTCTTATAACCTGGCTTGAGGATCAGCACACAAGGTGCAATTAAAAATGTTTATTAGACTATGGAAAGGTCCTGAGAGGCTGAGTTAGGAGGATTGTAAGTTGGAATCCAGCATGGGCAGCACAGCGAGACTCCTGTCTCAGGAAAAAGAAGAAGAAAACAAAACAAAACAAAACAAAACAAAACATTAGAAGGGCTAGGTTGTTGGTCCATGCAAAGCAGCCCTGGGTTCAGTTCGCAGTACTGCAAAATAAAGAGCAGAGGGGAAAGACAGGAAGGAAGAAGGGTGGCTGAATTCTTCTAACTGGACCTTCTCCTACCTAAGGCCGTCTCCCCTCCCAAACATAAACCTACTCCATGAGCTAAGAGCTGAGTATAATAATACTGCACCCGCCAAGCTTGGCCTTTACATCAGATCCCAAGTTTCCAAGGGGCCTCCTGTTTTGGAATTAGGGAGTTTCTTTTTAAAAACAAGATTCCTGTTCTTTCACATCCTTGTCCAAAACTATGGAGATAACTGGCCTTCCCTTCATGCCTGGCTGTCAGTGTCACTTTCCCTTGAGTGCAGCAGGTACTGAACTCTTGGGGGACTGGGCACCGTCTAACATCTACCACCAAAGAGCCACAAGAATCTGCAGCATCAGGGCTGCTTTCAAGGACTTCCCAGTGGCTTCTCATCAGAGCTGTCCTGGGAGATCCCCTACAGGGAACTGCACTGTACTAAGGCAAAATGGGAAGCAAAGTGAGTCCCTAGCAGAGTCTGAGACAGACAGGCTCAGTTTCCTCAGCACCAAGGACACCAGGGGCACCAAAAGCACGCGAACACAGCACCACAGAAGACCTGCAGCTTCGTTAGGTCCTCCCTTGATGTGACCTCCCAGATGTGCACACATGTGTCCCCTTGTGATCACCACGTGTCCCCAGTACACAGGCTGGACGCAGGGCTCTGGGGACAGTGCTGGTCAGACACCAGCTTGGTAAGAACAGGACCATCTCACAGAGGCCTGGGCCCATTCTGTACAAGGCCTGAGGCGATGGCTGAAATCTTTGCAGCCTGTGTGGCTTCTGCGATTTTGTGGCATCTCCTCAGTTTTGCTTTTGAAGTTAAAAGCAGAGAGCGATCTGTAAACAGGGTTCCAGGAAACCTTGATTCCAGTAGCCCTGGGCTGGCTGGTTGCCAAAGGCAGTCAACTCCCTATCCAATAAAACAAACCCTGCATTTTTCATTTTAAAAAAAAAAGGTGAATTAACCAACAGCACAAAACTATCAGATCCACAGAGCTGAAAGGACATGAAGAACTTGACCAGAAAGGGAACACTGCACTCAGCAGGTGCTTTTCATGGGGGCCTGCAGGCTGACGATGCCAAACTCTCAAGGTGCTCCTGGTACGAGAGAAGGAATGGATCAGCTCTCGACTCAGTAGCTAATGTTTTTGCTATCTGCCTTTCCAAGAAGATTCCTGGCCATTACACGTGTAGATAGAAAACGTAATTTTTAAAATACAATAGATGTTTAAATTTTCTAAAACCTTATCATAGTAAAACACAGGCTGCCATGAATCTCTTGCAAAATCTTTGCCCTCACTTTGAACACACTCATCCCAGCATTGTCCCTATTATTTCCTTCTCCTTCTCCTTCTCCTTCTCCTTCTCCTTCTCCTTCTCCTTCTCCTTCTCCTTCTCCTTCTCCATTTTATGTATTTGGTTCAAGGTCTCACTACAAGCTTGGATGTATAGCGATCCTCCTGTTTCACCCTCTCCAGCACTGGGATTACAGGGGTGCACCACCATGCCTGGTCTCGGGGGTTGGCTTGGCAGACCTGGGAAGGGATGGGGTCAGCACCGCATGCAGTACCAGGTCCCTGTGTTTGCACAGGCAGACACTTAGGCTGCTGATCTATCTCCACGGCCCCTCTCCTGACTTCCTGCAGCAGCTCTGGAGTCCTCTTTCCTGAGGGTCTTTGCTTTCACCGTCCTGGCTGCTTCCATGTCCTGAATGGCTTCAAAACGCTTCCCTTTCATGGCCATGTTGACTTTAGGAACAAGCCAGGGGCCAGTCACACAGTAAGCCACCACATCCTGTAGGGAGTGAGGCAGGTGAAGACGCAGCATCATTTTTATAAGCTGCCTTTCCACTGGCTGGTGCTCAGAGGCAGCAGCAGTCCTCGTATTTGTGATCAAACCTGGTAAAAACCCTCAGGTAAGAGGACTCCAGAGAAAGGGGGGAAAAAAAAAAAAAGACTCCACAGTTGCTGCAGAAAGTAGCAAGGATGGTGGGATGAGTGTGTGAGAAGCAAGGGGGAGGATTTTGAGGAGGATCTGTGGCAACGTGTCTTTCACTATAACACCATATTTAGGGTTAAGCACTCACCATGTATTTTTGATGTTCCATAAGCCTATGTACCTACCTGTCTGTTTCACATGTGTCTAATTGTGACCCTCAACACATACCAGATCTTGTACAGTGCACTGTGCCTACTGTATTTTCTCTCTCTCTCTCTCTCTCTCTCTCTCTCTCTCTCTCTCTATATATATATATATATATGACATGCTCTTAACTAAGCCTAACTGTACTTTCCAGGGCAGCAGCAGAAACTAGCAAAGTGCATCAGTACTGCAGTAGCATTGCCGAGAGTGTCATTAGCGTTGGTATACTGAAGTCTCCCAGTGAAGGAGGTTTCTAAACACGGTAGTCTCAGGAGCTGTCTGTTCTATTGAGGCCTGACTGTTGGGAGACACCCTGGCCTGTTGTTCAATCTGAGCTTTACTTCCTTTAAAAAAAAAGAAAGAAAGAAGAGAAAGAGGGACTGGGGATATAGCTCAGTGGCATAAGCACCTGCGTGACAAACACAAGGTCCCAAGTTCAATCCCCAGTACTGAGAAAGGGGGGAGGGAGAGAGGGAAGGGGGATGGAGGAGAGAGAGAGAGAGAGAGAGAGAGAGAGAGAGAGAGAGAGAGAGAGAGAGAGAGAAATCCAATAGTAACAGATGTTGGTGAAGCTGTGGGGAAGAGGAACCCTCCTCCACTGTTGGTGGGAATGCAAAGTGGTACAACCCCTCTGGAAATCAGCATGAAGATTCCTCAAGAAGCCCAGAAATCCCACTGGACCCAGCCATTCCTCTTCTAGAGAACGTCCTTAAAGACAACACAGTACAGCGATCCATGCACACGCTTCTTTACAGCAGCACAACCCATAATCGCTACATGTCCTGCACGTCCACCAATGAATGGATAAAGAAAAAATAGCGTCTATGCCCAGTGGAATACCACTCTGCCATCAAGAAGGATAAAGCTGGGTCAAGTGTAGGAAAAGGCCGCACCTCGAGACCATAATGTTAGCAGACCTATGAGCTTCAGTACTGCGTTCTCTCAGACAAGGAAGCTCTTCCCACCCACAAGTAGAGTTCACCAGGCGTGAGAACAGGTGCTCAGACGGCAAAGCAGCTCCATAGCCTGGCTTCGGCCTTGCCTAGGGCTTCTGCTGGAAAAGCCCAGTGTGGTGGCAGTGCCCTTCCAGCGCTCAGGAGCCTGGGGCAGGAGGATCGCTGCAAATTGAAGGCCAGCCTGGGCTACTCAGTGAGTACAAGGCCAGCCTGAACCACAGAGTGAGACGCTGCCTCAAAAAATCAAGAAAGAGGAAGAAAAGGAAGCAGAAATGTTTACATTAGCATCAGGGCCCGTCAACTCCCATGAGACTGCGGCTAAAGAAAGAAAGACACACTTGGAATCAAGCTTGCTTTAGGATTTTTTTGGTAACTAACTATTGTCAATACTCAGCCACTCATGCCTCCTGCGGAGCTGCCCTCCAGGGCTGCATTACAGCGAATTGAAATCAGTTTTCTCACCCAGGGCTGCCCCATTGGTCCAAGGGCCCAGCTGTGAGCCAGGGCTATATTTTAACTAAGAGCCTCACGTTTCATTTGGACAGACCATTTGTCATTTCAAGTCTGAGTCCCTTTTAAAAAAAAAAACAAAAATACATTTAGCGCTATGTTCGTTAAATGATTTCAAGCAATCAGCTCAAAAGGCATTTTTTTAATTTAGGTCAAGTTGGCTTCAATTTTATGCAAGAGAGAGAAGAGGGAGAGAAAAAGTCTCTTAGACTTGGCCGAAGTACTAAACAAAAAAGCTGAAATTATTAAGTAGGAAAATTTACCCACCTGCATTTTAAATTAAATTCAGTATCATCGAAAGTTCATATTCTTGTAACCCAAACAACTCCAGATTTCTGCCACAATTCTCTCTGGAAAGTATTTTTAGAAAGGCCTGCAAGTCTTAGGCATGCAAATTAATCCATTTTGTAGGTCAACCAACCAGCACCCACTGCACAATGCCACAACTGCACTAAAAAACGCCCCAAAGCGCATCAGAGATGCCGTTTACACAAACTCGTGAAGGCAAGCTTCAAGGCCGGGAAAACAAATCTTGCTTTCTAAAAAATTAAGTTGCCCATGCATTTGCAGTTCTCGTTTTTGAAAAGCAAGCCTGCAGAGAAAATATACTTGGCTTTGGCGTTTCTTTTAAAAATTAAAAACAAACAAATAAACTCTTAAATCCCACAAGCTTTTTCTCTGGTCCAACCTGCTATTTCCAGTCAGTGTTTCCATGTAAATCTGAGGTTCTGGGTCATAGCAGACATAGGCAGGAGCTTGTCCCAGGACAGGGTGATTAGACCCCAGGGGTGAACGCCCTGGCTGTGGATCTGGGAACCCTAGAAGTGACCTCAGAACAAAGCCCTGTAGAGGAGGCATCTCCTGCCTGTCTCTCCCTCTGCCCTGTGTACAGCGGCCCCAGGCGCAGAACATATGTGAAAATGGGGCCAAACTGTATCTGCGACTCTTTAAAATAAGTTTTATAGCTGAGCATGGTGGTGCATGCCTGCAGTCCTGGCACTCAGGGATGCTGAGGCAGGAAGATCAGAAGTTCTAGCCCAGCCTGGGTAACTTTGTGAGTTCATGAGTCCCTGTCTCAGAATTAAAATTAGAAAGGGCTGAGGATGTAGCTCAGTGCAAACGCCCTGGGTTTAATCCCCAAGTACCCACCCCCTAAAACTGTTTTAATGATGTTTTTAGAAGGCAAATGTGTTTTGGTGCTTTGCAGTGTGGTTCCCCAAGTCAAAGCTGACATTGTATGTACATCAGTGCCAACTCCTTCCTCACAGGACCTCAAAAGATCCCTAGGTCCATGTCAGGCCAGGCCCAGGAAGAACTGTGCAGCGCTGGCAGTTGGGGGTCATGACTACGGATGGGGAGTCTGGCCCTTAAACCCAGCAAAGTAAGAGCCAGGCAGGCGTCAGCCATGCCAGTGGTCAGGACAGCAGGTACTGACAGGTCTGCCTGCTGGCTGTGGCTCCTTGTGAGGCACACAGTTCAGTCACCCACCAATTCCAGCACCCTATTTGTGGAGTGCTGAATCAGTAAAGAAAGGGCCCTGGACTCTGCCTGCTGCTGGGACCAGACTCAAGGCAACAACTACAGTGCCCAGTCTCCCACCACCTCCCATGACTTAGGGTCATTTACACTCAGGACCCACCTACGGGCCCAGCCCTGGAGCCACTAGGCCAAGACCAAGCTGAAGAGTCGTGCCCCACAAAGGTCAGGTCTCGCAATCACCCCCACACCCCCAATCCCTGTGGACAAATGGTATTTCCTGGGCTCCCCCTGCAAGTGATGGCTCCACAGCCAAGACTTGGGAACTTCGAGCAATCAGCCAATCCAGTAGGTCAGCCGAAGCCCAGAAGCTCTGCATCTACCAGCATCACCACAGCCACCCAAGGGTCACACCCCCAGGCACATCCCTATCCTACTGGACATCAAAGTCCCCTGATACCCTGAGCCACCTACCTCTTTCAAACTGTAGCTTTTTGTATCTTTGCATTATTTCAGCCGCAACCATGCATTCGATCTAAAGGAGAGAAAAAAGCGGAGTTAGTCAAAGACAAAGCAACACAAAGCTGCCCCTCAGCCCGGACTCCCTCTGCACATGCCTCGTTCTCCTGCAGGTGGCCCTGCTTGGGACATGCAGCATCTGGGCAGCTGATTGCAGTTTCGAGCCCTTCCTTGATCAAGAGCTCCACATACTGTTTCAGGCACTGGAAGCAACACAGAGAAGAGTCCGTAAGCATCTCCACCTCCACGCATCCAAGCCCAGGAGTGCACGAAAAAAACGGCCAGCCAAGCTTCTCTTTTCATTTTACGCTTTTTGCCATGTAGCTCCCAGCAACCACCAACTGGGAAACCTGAGGTTTGATTCATGTGCCAAGAATTTATGGGGTACCACCCAGCTGCAGGTCAGAGAGCTGAGGGTGGGGGCTGGCTCTGCACACAACAGCGCAAACACAAGGCCAACGCTTGGCAGGGAGAAAGGAAGAAAGTGGTGGGGTGTGGTAGGAAGGAAGACATTTCTCACATACAGGAGCGATATCAGGCACCTACTAAATTTTGTATCGTACATTGTTTCTTTAATTCTTCAGAATTTTTTTTTCTGGAAGTACTGGGGACTGAAGTCAGGGTGTTTGCACTGAGCTACAGCATCCCTGGCTCATTTTTAATTTTCAATTTTGACACCGGGTCGGGGAAGTCATTTAGGATCAGCTCAGTCTTGCAGTCCTCCTGCTTCAGAATTCCAGGATTGCGAGCATGAGGAAGTCACTAGGCACTGACAGAGGGAGCTCATGGGACTCTAGGGGTGGGCGAGCCCAGGCTAGGCATGAGACCAGAAGGCAGGACTGTCCACAGTGTGAGGATGAGGAAGGGAGGAGACAGAGGAGAGGGGAGTCCTGCTGAGTCCAGAGGCCTGAATTGTGGTCCTGCTTGGTTCTGAGGTAAGGAAGGGAAATGAGGTGTCCTGTGCAGAGTCACTCAACATAAGGAGGGACTCAAGTCTCTTGAGAGCTTTGCAACTAGACAGATAGGAGCACACCCGGTTCCTCCAACCAGAGGCCATGAAACAGTGATTTGATACGGGGAGCCATCAATTCCTTGGTGACAAAACAGGGTGCCCTTATAGCTGAACCTTGCACTGGTAAAAATAATGCATCTAAGATGGGCATGGGGGTGCAGATCTGCCATCCCAGCACGTGGAGGATTACTGCACCTGCTAGCCAGCTTGGGCTCTACAGGGAGTTCAAGTCCAGCCTGAGCTATAGAGTAAGATCATGGTGAAAGAGCACGAGAGTGAGAGAGATAGAGAGAGAGACAGACAGACAGACACAGAGAGAGAGACAATGAGACAGAAAAAGACAAAGACAGAGAGAGAGAGAGAGAGAGAGAGAGAGAGAGAGAGAGAGAGAGAGAGGAGGCCAAGAGCACTGACTTACATTTATCGCAATTCTTCGCACTTAGTACCAAGAAATCAGTGCCTGATATTATCTTATCTGTCCACCTCTGTGATGCATTTCATATACTGAGCCATTTTAGAAAAAACAACCTTTAGCAACAAGATCAGGATTTTACTTTCTATAATTAAGTTTGCATAATTTAGGACTTAGAGGGGTCTTAAACCAAATTGTAATGGTACTGGGCAG